TTAGAAAATACACTTTTGTGTGCTGGGATTTTTTTGAACATTAGGCTGTTAATCAGATACAGATGTAGTTTTTTTGGTCTGTTCTCGTAGGGTGTGTTCTCTCTGACCTTGTTTAGTCTGATTGAAATGAACTCCGGAGTCTTTGGTGTGGTTCAGTTTGGACAGACTGAACCTTGGACTAAGACTCCAGTCCAGACCAAACAAAAGATCTCCGGTCTGCCTCCAAAGGTGGTCTCAATTCTCAATTCACTTTTCTTTTCTAGAATCAACTTCTTCCACTGATCGCATTCATTCACTGCATATCATTGCTTTTACTCATTGGGTTGGGTGTTTATCGAGGTTCAATTGGGCGGCTGGAAAACCGCAAGAATGTATTATTGTCTGTCAACTGTTTCTTTTTGGAACAAGATGTTGAGGAAACATTTGACAAGATCTTCTCAAGGTGAATGTTTATAATCTGTCTGTAGATTGGTGAAAAATAATTTATATCACAAATGTTAACGTGCTACATTTGACAGGCCTTATAAACATCCAAAGCTGTCCGCATCAAAATGAATTCTGCAGGTTTAGAATGGTGCATGACTACATTTACACAAGTTCACGTGGAAACTAAAATTAAACTTTTTGGCTTCCAAACAATCCCTCTTATAGACAGATTGTGTCATTACACCAACTCCCACTGTGTAAATAAAGAGTCGTGAGATAATGCACTCATCCAGTCTGACCAAGGACACGACTCTCATGAGGCACAGATACCAATCATTCATTCTTATTCTTCACTCCCAGGCTTTTATGCACCGTCCACCAGGGAGCAGCAATCCACCTGCATCTGAACTCCACCAGGACAAATCCAGTTATTGACCCAATAGGGGAGCTTTGATAAAACACAGCGTAGATACCACAACTCCCAAGTGAATCACACACCTCCTCACAACAAGGTCTGATAAACGCTATCCCCCGCGCCACGGCTTTATCACAAACTCTGGATACATTTGGTGGGAAAGAGAATCTCAGGGTGGGAGGAGTCATGAGAAAGATGCCATTATGAGGAAACAACACTGTAATCTCCTGAAGTTTCTGCAACTTTCAGAAAACTTATTATTTATACTTCCTAACAAGCAATGAAAACGACTATATGTTGTTTAGAATACCACTTAGAGTTTATTTTAGGAGGCAAAAAGAAGGGGAAACAAAGGTCGGGGGAAGATAGACTAAAATACAAAAAAACCCTAACTGTCCTGCCTGCAGTCCAGATGTGTCTAATATTCAAAATATATAAAGCATTTAGAAAAGGATGAAGGATAAAAATGGTTAACGTGCATTGCCACATCGCTGATTTGATGTTTTATTGCAGTTTTAGAAGCTGTCCCATTAGGTTTGTACGTTGCATAAACGCTCAGATATTTTATCTGTTATCCTCCTCTGGGCCTGCTTTCTATTGAAACCTGCCTGTTAAGTTTCCCAGCTCGTCTGATGTCCAGACCTGATGGCTGTAAAAAAAATCTCAGTTCTCAGAACTCCTTCTGCAAATATTCAGACATATTTCAAGCATAGTAATTTTTGAACTGATAGTGGGCCAAGATCAGCATCCTGTGGGACTCCGTCAACAACAAGGTACAACCTGATGACGTCTGGTCCGACATCATCTTATAGGTCGCAGCTGTTTTAGGCTGCGTTTACAGAGTGGACGTTGTACAAATGCTTCAGAGGAAGGTATGTCTCCCAGCCCTATTTTTGTTTGTGATTAGCCTTAGCGGTGACCCGTATAGTGATTTTGGCAGAGATGTGGCGTGAGATGCTTTTTCCTCGTGCAACCCTTCCCGTTTATCCAGGCAGTACAATGGGTTGATGGGAAAAATAAATTTGCTCGTCAAAAATATTATGTGACACGTGCTTTGAATAAGCTGTTTCTTTTAGAAACATATTAACTTTTTGTTAGCTATACTTTAGGGTTCTGGTCCAACATAATTAGCATAAAACTGAAAATAAAGAGAAGGATTTACAAAGTTTGCTTGATTATACACATACATTTTTGCTATGTCGAATGCATCTAATTTACATTTACAATTTTCTTTTGACAGCTATTCCAACAAGTATTTGATAAATGCTGTGTTTCTATTTGAGTTTTCTTAGATGCCAAAAATTAACATTTAAAACAGCACCAGTGAAGACTGTCATCTGTTTCCTGTCTCATATGTTGCTCTTGATTTCGAATTCTATATGCCCCTATGATTTCATCAGTCATCTGCAGCACCCTCCTGAGGCGTCACCTTTTTGCCTCACATGCTACATTAGCTACACAAAAGCTAACGTTGACTTTTATATCGCAACGACATTTTCAGTTGACGCCATTTCCTGCAAAAACCACGGAACACGGTGCAAATGAAGCGATACATACTGTAATAGAAGTGATAAAAAAAAAATCAATAACTCTCTTGAGACACTGTCATGACGGCGGCTGACAGTGGACCTCAGCAGATTTACTGCAGCAGCAGCTCATAAATCAACATGCAGAGACAAGGAACCATGTGCATTTCCAGGGTCGCAGCTTTCATTCACGTGTTTTCACTCTTTCTTTTACACGATTTTCACAATTGTTATAGAATAGAAAAATTGGAAGAAAGAAAAACAAGAACAAAAACAGCTTCATTTCCACATGGACATATTGCATAGAGAATCTTCAAAGCCGTGTTCACTCTTGAGCTGGTTGTCCACCAGAGGAATGTTTTTAATGGTGTGGTTGCAGCGTTTGATGTCTGCAGATTGGGATCCTGAATTATATATTTTTTCATAATATGCAGGGAGCTGATGCCAATTTATACTGAGAGTCATCTGACAGGTCAGACACGGGATATAAAAGTGAAAAAAAAATCCCACTGAGTCTTCCATAGTTTTTTTTAATAGCAGGTTGACGCCGGGTCATTTACGAAGCCTGTAATTAAAGGTAGCGTGTTGTTTTATTTGGTGCACAATCACACGAAGCACACATATATTTATTTGTGATTTTTCTCTCCCGTCTATCGCCTGCAGGGAGAGAATCGAAGCATGAAAATATGCCCGACAGCTGTGAGGAGGGAGGGAAAACACATGCGGCCGATAAGGTTGAGTTAAAATAACCGCATATTCAGCTGGAGGTGATGGTGAAAATATTTCTACAGGACGAGACACATTCCTGAGTTTGCAGAAATTAACTCCAAGTTAAACAATTTGAAGAAAAAACATGTTCACAACACCAGCAACAAGGCAGTGAAAATAGGTCAAAATCCTTTTAGTATGTTTGTACATGGCAATAAAATTAAAATATGAGATTATCACGAACAACCTCTGCATTTTGACACTTAGTGGAAATATATATCTGAACTGATAACTGACCACATAAATAAGAAAAGGTAAAACCATCAGGAACAGAGTTCAAATGAAGCTCTATCCGAGTACGAGATTTGGATTTGCTGCCATCTAGTGAGCGTTAGCGTGAAAGACAACTTCATTATCACAGGTTTGTCCAAACCTGTTTTTACTACATTACAGCCTACTTAAAATTAAAGTTTTAATATTATCTTCTCGCAAACGAGTTAGATAACACAGTGACAAAAAAGCAAATTAATTTCCCAATTCAAAACAATAATAATCTTTAAATTAATAAATGTCAGGCAAAACTCAACAAAAATGGTTTTAACAACAAACTAATATACAGTTAAATTAACCATGGACTTTTAGTAATAACTAAATATTTAGCATCTAAATACGGTAAATTGGTCACAAAAAACCCCGCCAGAAATTGCTGTGAAAAAACAAAAAAATTTAAATCCCCGGATTTAACTTCAAATTTAGTTTATTTCGTTTTACTTTAGTTTGTTTTGTGAGCCTGTTGTTCTCAAAGCAGCCACTTGGCGCCGCTCTTTCCACACGCTCACAGCCACTTAGACTCAGGCGTGTCTTTCATGCGAGCAGGAAAAAATGATTGGAAAATCATTTTTCATAAATGACACAGTCCAGTCAATAAGAAATGAGTAAAGACTCATTATTCTTAAATAATCTACAGCTCAAACGCAGGGGAGGAGGGGGATGAGTGGTTAATTCTAAAAGGATGGCGGTCAATAACGGTACTGCCGGTACATTTTTTGTGTAGATATTTTCAGTAGAGAACAAATATACCCTCACAGCCCTCCTGAGCTATCAGGTATTTGTATTAAACCAATACAGCAGCAAATGTGAAATAAATTGATCACAAAATCACTTTCCCTGCTGTTTTCTCTGTTAGTTTGACTCATTTGATCATTCCAGCAACATTCCAAACCTCATAACCATCAATTGTTACAGAGGAGCACACAGTGTCTCGGAAAAGGAAATTCCTGAACTGCCGACTATGCTTCCTCGCCACTGCCGTCTTTTTAGATTAACTGCCAGATGCTGCAGAACTTGGAGGAAAAGAGACTGGAATTCTTGGTGATCATGTGACTGTTCAGACAGTAAACAGAGTCGGGAATGTCTATTTGGTGTTTTGAACAAATGTCTGGAGCTGTGTCTAATGAGAAAACAATGACACAAGGCTGGAAAACATTAGATCTGAGGACGTTGTTTTTTTTTTTCCTGAAATATTCTGTTGAATTTCTGAGGAATTTCAGACTTATGAGTACAAATGTACTCCGTATGAGTACTCCGTATGCACATATACTCAGTCTTGCTCTGTCATGGATATTCATTTCATCCAGGATGCACATACAGGGAAATTAAATTTTTGAAGGGGGGTCAAAACTTGCTTTAAATCTATTTTCTAATTCAACATACATGATTTAATTATATTTTAAATACATTCTATACACACATATACATCATTATATATAACATGAATTGCAGACATTTGACAAATACACAATTTTAGTGCGTACTGTCGGTTTAGTACTATAAGTAAAACGAATTATTTGAATTCTTTCATTGACTGAATAAGTGTAAAACAGCGCGAAACACCACAACACGCGTTTTATACTTTTCCTCCATACCTGCATTTTCACCTGGAGCTCCATGAAGGCTGGTCGAGAGCTGGAAACGTTGGTCTGTGTTAGCCGCCCTGCTGCCTCCGTTACAAACTGTAGCCATTGAAAACGTGTCCACAAACACAATGAAAGACAACATGTTATTTGTACTGCACCAACAGTATCACAGTGACAATAATGGCATGATACTCTGCCGTTGACTGTTAATTAATGTCGCAAAACGCGAAACAGGAAATACGCTAACGTTAGTGAACCAGTGGAGAGACGTTGACGTTAATCCAGACGGATAGCTAATTAGGCTAAAATAAAACACACCTGCGGTGTTGTGTAAGAACAGTTGTCCCGATAAATGGAGCAGCGATTGGCAAACATTGTTGTGACATTCTTAAAGAGCCTGTAGTGTATTGTTCTTACTTTAACTGGGTGAACTTTGAAGCATCACTTTGCATAAAAGTCCGTGACGGGTGAAGTTACACAAGTTAATTAGCGCATCAGCGGAGCAACTTCCTTTGTCTTGTTTTTCAAAATAAAAGATGACGTGACTTCCTTACAGTGTAGTCACACAAGAGTTTAGCTTTGCTTCCGTTTGAACACGCAGCGTCGGTAAAGAGCTTTATGTCAACAGTCAACATTGAAGGGCAATCACATTACAGATTACAAACACAACAACCATTCACACTTACACCCACACCTCAATTTAGAGCGAACTTTTAACCTAATCAAGCTTTTTTTCCCTTTTTTTAACTCCTGAGCAAATGTGATCAAAACGTAGACCAGGTGATTTCAATACTTCATCACACTGTTGTGTTGGTAATGTAAAGTACATGGTGCAGTTTAACCAAATCTTGGTCAGAGATATTAAAGTTTAAATCTTTATTTTTGCACATGTTACAGCAATACATAACATAATCTAATGTAATCTGTTCAAATACATGACATTTTGTGCAAATGTATTAAAGAACAAAACAGTAACAGTCATATTCATGTATTCAGTCATATTTGTACACCTCAGGATGACTTGACTCCACCCTCATGAAGGTCTCAGGTCTTTCTGAATGGCTCTGAACAGCTGCATCACAGCCTCCGTCCACACCTCTCTCTGCTGCCGGTCACTCATGTGACCCAGGATCTGGGCGCCGTGCACCAGGGTCAGCACTGTCCTCTCAAAGTCCTGCTGGCTCAGAGGCCGCCCCCCCTGCCGGGCCAGCCCGGCTATCAGACGGCGGATGTCGGAGAGTGACTTGGGCAGGACATCCTCGCAGATGACGTCCAGTTTCTGCACGCTCCTGAGAGACGCCAGCTCCTCATCTGGGATCAGCATGGTGTGGCGTTCGTCCTCTATCTGCATTCCAGCCAGCAGGATCTGGGAGATGGTCACACACACACACACACACACACAGAGTTACAACATTGACACTGAAAACACAGAATGTGTGCACAGAGGCTCTAAATCAACACAGACTCCACAGCTTCTGCTACAGATTAGCTGTGGGGTTTTTTTGTTGTTTTTTTTCTTCCTTATTTTTCACCAGGCAACTCGATATGAAACACAAATGTGTGATTTGGACACAGGACGTGTACATTCTTTCCATATTTATCTTGGTTCTCAGTGAACAGAGCCCACAGAGTGGTGAATCACTTCAACTCCAGTGAACTAACGGTATCTCGACCGACCTCAAAGAGCAGGTTGACGTCTTCCGCCGACTGCTGGAAGGTGGGGTTGACGAGCGAATACGTCCCTCGTTTTATTCTGTATGCAGACGGAAACAGAGCTGAAACGTAGAAGGAAAGGGAATACAATTAGGGAGGATCGGCTTCCATTCCAGAAATTAGCCTCGCAAATGAGTTTCTTCGAACTCAGGGTGGGCCAGAGGTTGAATAAACACGGGGTATTACTGCTCCAATATAACACAGGTGGGATTGAACCCATCTGTGCTGAAATGAAATGGTCTGCAACCACAGCCACAGACGATGTTTGATTCCGATGGTAGCAGGAGCCAGTTCACACAGAGGTCACCTGCTCAAACACAACCGGACATGAAATGGACCTCGAATATGTCCAGAATAAATCTGAGAAGAGTCCAAACTCACTGATGCTGCAATACCTGGAAATCTGTGTTTTATAGGATTCAATAACTGGAGACCATAATCATGAATTGATCATGAATTCATGATTCATTCAGATGTAATTGACAAAATTCATTGACTGGTTGAAATAGTGAAAAGTTGTAAAGGTCTGAAATACTACTCTATATTTTAAATTTCACGAACTGTTTAACTTGATTCTTACTTCTTCTTCCTAAAAGCTAAATTTCACCAGTCACACAGACACATGACGTGTATACTAATGTTATGACTCATAACATTTCGACTTTAATCTCGTAGTTTGATTGTTTATTTTTTAATTCTCAATGGCAGACTCAAATTCATGAAAACTGCTTAAAATCTTATTTGGTATCGTTTTACAAATAATTTTAAAATTGTGCACAGATTATTATTTTTTGTCTAAAAATTACTTACTCAATTAATACTTTTAACATTTTAAGGCTACATGAGTATTTGTGGTTGATGCCCCGAGAAAAACAACTCTGTGTACTGTGTACAAGGATGCAAAGTGAAAACTTGACATTTATGTTTTTCCAGTGTGTCATTCATCCCGTGGTTGCCAGCAGGCAGCCACGGCCAGCGCTTAAATGGTTCAAATCCCACCCACCCTGCAAAGGCATCTAAGGTGAGCTGCTCTGCCAGCTCCGCTGTAATGCCTCTGGGCTCCCAGTCCAACGGCTCAGATACTTTCAGTTCCACAGCTGAATGAGCCAAAGCCTTGTGCACTGGCTGTTCTACCCCACCTACCTGCCCCCCTGCCTGGGTGACTGCCAGTCTCTGCTCTGCCTCTGGTTTTAATGATCCGATCAACACCGTTCACAACGTAAAGGAAACCTGCGTTGTGTTGGCGTCAGTGGTGTAATGGAGATTAACAGCTAGCTATGTTGGCGCTACGTCCTCATCATAAACCTGCACTTCTACACATGACCACCAGCAGGACTGCTGCCAGGAAATTTAAGGGGGAAAAAAGGGAACCAGTGTTCCAGTCCCACCTTAGTCTGTTATGAATGTTTTTCACATTATGTTCCTAAAATTTACCTGAACCATTTGACAGAGTGAACATTAGATGAAAACAACAACAATGTATCAACAGAATATGTATTAAAGTAAACCTAGTAACATAAAGAAAAAAATAAAGAAAAAAAAACTCTGAGTCAGAAGCGAGAAAGATCTGAAGAAAGGCAAGAAATCCAACAACTAAGTTGATTTTTTTCTTTTCTTGTTCATATTATCTGTAAATAGGACAGCAGCTTAACTGGATTTACACTGAAAGTTTTAAATTACATACTGTACATAAGTAGCTATGTCACTCACCTACGCTAACACAGTGGTAACATCGTAATCCATGAAAACATCAGCAGAGTCTGATTTGCACTTGGGAGCCGTAATGAAATTAAAAAACTCCCCCCCCCAAAAAAATCCCCAACACAAACGAAAGAAAGCGAATATTACACAAGTTAATAGTCATAAAGACATCCTTAACGATCGCGTTAGCGCCAACAACTCTACGCCTTAATCTACGACAGGGAAAAGGTTTTGTATTTGTTGTCGGTGAATACCTTCACTGAGCTAACAACTCTCTGTTGTGTTGTCTGATCATGCAGATGAGATACTGCAGAGGCTGTGCATTACAGCTCCACTGGGTTCTCCTCTTGTTGTTAACACAACCACAACCCGTGGGAGAAAGTGGAGCTCATTACAGAGCCGGGCTTCAGCTGTTGAAGGGATGGAGCGGCAGCAGGGATATGACATCTGCCTGGCTGAAGTCAGCGTAGATTTCCATCCCAAAATGAACAATTTGCACACATTTTCTGCACTTCTGTCAGCAGTTGCTGCTACACAAAAGGCTTTTTGTGAAGCAGACAACTTACTTCTTTTCATGTTCTCCAGCAGCAGTTTTGGAGCATTTGCAGCAGCTGGATTAGATAAAGACATAAACGCACGACTTAAAGACAGAGAAGAAGCCCTGCTGCAGCCCAGCTTTGTTGTGGTCGAAACCTTTTCAACAAAAGGAACAAAAAAGACTTGACAAGCAGATGATCTGAGAGGAAACCAAAGGGCTATAAATAGTAGTGTGGAGCTAATAGTGATGAGGATCAGGTGCTGATGTGGGCGGAGCTTAATTAAGTCTAGGAAGTTCACTTAAACTACACTTGTCTTATAAATGTAGTATTTTTCTAGAGTAATACGTTTATTTCTTGACCAAGACTGGTCTTTTTTAAAAACATATAAGGCTCGTTGCCAATTGGCCACAAGGTTCAATGAGACCCAATCTGTGGATTTCCTCCAGCTGTGATCATCTGCTGTCCAGCCTGGAGAAATAAAACATCCTCCTAATACCAGGTGGATTTAATCTGTACCACACTCCAACCAGGAAAACATTGTTATGACCCACATTTCCATAAAATGTTGAAGTGACTAAATCTTAATCTGGTCTGTGGTGTTGTCAAAGCTTTATCCCCGGTTCTCAAGGTTTGTCGATTGTCAAGGAATTGTCAGTTTTCAACAGACAAATATGATGAGCATGCTTGTTGCTACGGCAATGACATCACCGAGATTCCACAAACATGCAGATTAGGGATTATGTGGATCAAACACTCAGACACCCTAATCCCGCCATCCATCAATGACTCGTATGGTTGGTTCCAGCTGTCCATGATCCTAACAAGGATTGGGTCGTACAAAACGGATGGATGGATGCAACTGATTCATTCTCCTGCTAGAACACACTCTATTTGACTTAGAAGTCCGACTCCTCTACTTCTCCGTCAGATCCCGACTCTTCTGAATCATCCTCCAAATCCTCCCCATCCGTCCCGGGCCTCCTCCTCCTCATCTCTCTGTCCTTCTCCCTCAGCCTTTGCTGCATTTTCTTGATGTTTTCGATCCTCTCCTGCTCTTGCTTGTGGTATTCATCCAGCTGAGACTCCAGGTAGCAGAGGTTGCTGAACTTTTGAACGTACATCTCGTACTGCCTCTGCAACTCCTGCTCAATCAGCTCGTACTCCTCCATGAAAGCTGGCTTGACACTCTGCAGAGACTGCAGCCGCTTCTGTTTTCTCTCCAGCTCCTGCGTCTTCTTTTTGATCTTGACGTCAAGAGTCGACTCGTTGGACATGAGGTCACTCAACATTTCTTTGGTATTCCCGATGCTGTCATGTACCTCCTTGATGGTGGCTCTCAGGACCTTTTCCGTGTTGCCGATCTCCAGCGGTCTTTCTATAGCCGAGGTTCTCTTTTCCCAAAAACCCACCTCTTTCCCCAATAAATTACACAGAGATGCACCTTTAGAGGAGATCTCAGATGCCAGCTCTCGAGCTGTTGCCATCTCCAAAATCCGTGAACCAAGGTCAAACCTGAACTTATTGTTCTCCTGGAGTTTCTCTCCTGTGGTCATCTGCTTTGTCTTCACAGCATTTTGCATCACAGAGGTGATCTTCTGCAACTCCTTCACTGCATAACCGTCCGCTTTGTAGAGATATTTCGTGTTTAACTTGATGTCGGCCTTTGTTGCCATGAACTGGGCCACAGCTTGGATGAACGCAACTCTATTTGACTCTGTC